GGCAAGTTTATTTTTTTGGGACAAATTAAAACAAAATGAAAAACAAACAGAGGGAGGTTGGAAAAAAATACACGAAATTAAACAAACATTGAGGATTTATATGGCCCGGCACTTGGCGAGGTTTCTTCGTACTTGGAAATTGCCGGAAAATTACAAGAAAATCGTGCAACTCTTGTTTACTCTCTGAGAGAGAGAAAAAAAAGTACACCGAAAATAAAATGTGATATTATTTCATGTTTAGCTTGATGAGTTTGGTTAATGAACTTTAAACAACTATTAAATTGGGAAAAAAATCAAAAGATACTATGTTTAAAGAATTTTACAAGATTTTTGGGAAATGAACCAAAGTGAAAAGCAATGTTCTATAATTATAAGAAACTTGAGGAGAATTAATATTTTTATTTATTTTCTGTGTAGAAAAAATCGAAATGTAGGCATGAAAAGCCACAGCTCAGTTCGTATCGTTGGACTTTCCAACAAATTTAAACGTTACATGCGAGTAGATTTCAACGCGATCCGATCTTCGATTGCTCGTGCACCCACACAGATACTCACGACTACGCTGAAAGGCCGCGGGGCATGATGCAATGCCGCAGCTCCTTTTGCCCTCAGGTGCCGCTTTTCACTTTCCGCCCGTTCAATCCGCTCAATCCGTTCAATTGGCAATTGGCCAAACAAAGTCAGTCAAGTCAGAGTCAGTCATTTTTAGTGACTCGACTACGGCTTTTGTTGATTTCAACGATTGGCGTACCGAATAACTGCAACTGTCATTTTCTATTCGCGAATTTCTGTGGCGACCTGCTGGGCTTGCCTTCTTCTGGCTGCAGTTTCCAACAGCCATACGAAATGGCTTTAACACAAAAAAAAAAAAAACAATTCTTGGCTGCCTGTCGAGAGGCGAAATGTCAATTTGGCGTTGTTTACTTTTTGTCCAAAAAAAAACCTTTAATTTTAGCTTTTGGACTTTTGAGTTGCATTCGTTGCGCCTTCAATTGCCGCAATTTAGCTGGAAACACGCCCCTGCCACCTCAACCCCCATCCCCCCTTACTCCTACCAAAATTCGCTTTAGGCGCGCCATTGAGTGTTAATTAAGCATTTATTCAGCATTGGGTGTCAAAGTTGGCTCTAAAGAGCCGAAAATTAATGCCAGTTTGTGTCGATTTTCCTTTGTTATCAATTGAAAATTTATTTTCGTTTTCATTCGCTGCCTGACTTCGATTTTGATTTCGATTTCGGCCATAAAGTTAAAGTCCAAGGCGCAACTTCATCGATCATTGTCTGTGGCATTGTCAGAAAAGCATACACAAATAAAATGCCAGAGGCCCAAAAAGGTTGATATGCCTTCCTTGATGACTTGAGAGACAGCTCTCGACTTAGATGAATCATTTCCCGCCTCACTCCGCCACTCCACTCAACCAGCCAGTCCGAAATCACAAGCATTTTTAATTGGTCAATAAAAAGCGGCACGTTGGCTATAATAACAGAGGAAATGCCAGAATTACCGCATTTAATTTGCATATTTTGCTTTGGAAATTTGACAGTTAAATGTGGCTTATTGGTGTGTAAAATTTCAAATTAAAGTCAAATCAGCGCGAACCTGAATGGAAATGTTGTTCAAATTACTTAATATTTAAAATGTTTTTTTTTTTAACTATTTATGGTGCTGGCTCAAGTTTGCTTAAGGTTGTGGACCATTGTCTCAATTGTTTAGGGTTTGGCTTAAGGAGTGTATAAGGGAAAGTATTTTAAATATTTTGTTTTAAATTTAATAATTTTTGATGAAGCTTACCCTCTTAGACCTAGCCATGTTTCCTTTAGTATTTAACTATGAACAAAAATTTATTTTAAAAATATTGTGTTATTTTCTATCCGTTGCTATGTTAGCTACTCATCAGACATGATTAATATTTAATTAATATTTCATGTATCTTTAACATTAACCTAAATATGATAGAGGATGATCTCTTGAATTTCCCCTTAAGCATGCAAGTGTTAATTGAACTTTGGCCACGCTGTCGCCTCTGAAGCGCTGGCTTAAAGTGCGCTAACCTTAATCGGCGTAGGAAGTGCAACGGTAAACATTATTAAGTAGCGCCTGGCTGGGCGGTGGGTCGAAAGGGGGCGTAACCGGTGGGAGGTGGTGCTGAGGGGGTGGGGCTGCGTGAGCTAGGAGACCGCGACGTCGACAAGCTGATAACCATCGCCCAGTACAATGGGGCAGACTCTTCTAGCCGGCTGCTTCCTCCTCCTGAATGTTGCTGTTGCAAGTGTTGCTGCTGCTGTTGCTGTTGCTGCTGCTGCTGCTGTTGCTGCTGCTGCTGCAGTCAATGTGCCAGTTAGGCAGTCAACTATGCGTGTCTCTGTGTGCGCAACCTGCAACACTTTCAAACAACTTTATCAAGCCGGAATCTCAACTGACTGAATGACTGACTGACTGACTGAATGACTGACGTGGTCTTGATTGAAATGCGACGAAAGCGTCGACAAGCCGAGTGGGTGGCAGCCGGGAAATGGAAAATGGTAGTTGGTATAAATGGGTGGCTGCTGGTGCTCGGTGCGCCCGCTCCCAGCTCGGTGCGTATGTATTAATTAGTGTCAAGTGTTGTCGCTTTGAGTTACGCGCCCAGGGGACTGCCAACGTCAGCGATAACACAAAGCGATAGCAACAGCCACTTGTTTGCCCAGCTCCCGATTGAAGCCACCTCCCCACTAACCCTACCAACTTCCAATCTCATTTTCCCGGCCATATAATCGATGATGACACGTTTCGGCTTTTGCCCATGCGCAAGAGCCTCCTGGAACTGCAGCTGGCTGCAGCCTGCAAATTGCAGGCTAGACACCAAGTATGGAGTGTATGTGCGAGTGTGCGAGTGTGCAAATTTATAAACACTCTCCTCTCTGGATACTGTAATATTTTTTGCGCATCCAATTACATTTATGTGCTCGTAAACTAAAAATTCTGCACAGCTTGCAAACCGGGTTGCTTCACAATAATTATAAGCCCAAGAGGTTGGCTACCCTAGATGACGATGGCGATGCCGATGACCAGATGCTTACTAGGTGCCGCATCACATGTACTATGTGCTCGGTGGGCCTGTGGGAGCGGCCGTTTAGTGGAGAGGGTCTGTCATGAGTTATATTTTATACACTTCCTGATTTATGGGGGAAAAAATATGGTACAAATCTTAAATGAAACCGCTTCCGGAGCTGTTAGGGAAAACTAATCTAGTATTAATTTCCTCTAAGCACTACATGGAGAGGTCTGTAAAAGTCGAAGATTCCAAAGCATTAAAATGCTTTGCTCCCATTTAAATTTATATTTATTGTGCAATAAAAATATATATTGCTTTTGCTCAAAGAGAGTCATTATTTATGCTTTTTAAAAAACATTAAAAGTATCATCACCAAGAGGTTCCCCTTTTTAGAACCGACAAATAATAACTTATGATTATTTTATATATTTTTTCATTACCCTTTTCTAATTTTACGTGTTTGGTTTCATTAAAATCAATAACTAACGAAAAAATTGTTAGGAAATTATATATTTGCATTAATTTTTGGGTTTTTTTTTACTTTATCAGTTTCCATTTTTAGAATTTGATGATCACCCGCAGAAATCCTTGGGTAAAAATCAGTCAAACAGAATGTTTTCACTAACCCCAAAATTTGAGAGTCATCAATATCGGCCAAAAACCATGTAGACTTTGGCCGAAAATCTTGTCCACTTTCATTTCAAGTTTGGAGGGAAATCTTATTGGAATCACTGCCAACAAAAAAAGACAGCCCACATACGGCTGCTAAGCTCTTAAACTAGAACTACGCCCCGAACACCAAACACAAAACACCAAACACCACACAACCAACACCAGAAAACAACATTAACCGCAATGGATATTGCAGACAGGCAATGATTGGTTTTTCATTTTCGCTGCCCCCAAAATGGTGAAGAGCTAACACACAGATGGATATAGAAATATATGTATTACCAATGCAGGTTGTGCGGTGTGAAAATTGTTTTGGCCCGGGGCCTTTGGGAGAGATACAGAATTATGTGGCACTTTCATATGGCCATAACGAAGCATGTGAATGCCAAAGCCAATTGCAGTTGCTGTTTTTATTTTCTAGTTCACGAGTCGGCCGATTTCAAGGCTGCCACCGGCCAGGCCAAGTGGCAATTAAAATTCTTTCGCTTTTAATGCCCGATATCCGAGGCATGAAATTAAAACATGTTTTCTCAATCTTGGTTAATGAATTTCCATGCTTTTTGGTCCGCACCCTTTAAATACTGTTTAGGGACCGTTGTCAGTTTAATAATCAATTATGTTTGTACGTGTTGTCATTGACCTTCAATCTGGTCCAAAAGATCTCTATACGGATACACATCCACATCCACATCCACACCCAGCCCTAATAGATCAGGCAATTACCCGATTTTAAAGCCTCTTAGCTTCTTTTAATTCCCATCTATTTATGAAATTATAATTTGATATTTCAACATAGTTGTCAATCACAGCTGTCGCTGTTGCTGTGCTTATTGTTGTTTCTCGAACAACCTCTTTTCTTTGGTCTGGGCGTGGCAGAGGCACAGGTATCGGGTCTCTTTTGTTGGCGTTATTAATTTGATCGTTAGGTTTTCTTGTCTGCCGCTACAACGGCTGCCGTTTGACACGATGATGGGTCTCCGTCTCCCTCAGCTTTAAACACACTTCAACATCATTTGGACAGCCAGCAGCCCCCGTATACTGGGGCCTTTGTTGGCAGAAAAATTTATAGAAAAAAAAAAATAAATGCGAACGGAAAAAATACTTTGTACGGCCCACGCACTTGTCATAATAGATTCGTTTATAATTTTATTTGCTTTGGATTTTTTCTACTTTTTGAAAATTTTGTATGCAGGTTGTTTTCGGCTGGGCTTGCCACATGAGCAAATAATCGTAAGCGGCTTTTGTGCCCATGAACAGATTTAAATGCTAAATGCGGTGGTGAGGGTTTTACGTACCTCATAAATCCATGGACAGGTTCTGAAATAGGAAAAAAATACAACACATTAATTTATTATTTATTGCATTAAATGGAATTGCATTTATGTTGGAGTCTGCTTACTTAATTTATGACAGGTTTCATAAAATCATTAATATAGTCAACTTTGCACATTACCCATTGGTAATTAAATTTTTAAGCCAAGGAAATATATAATTTTCTAAGACAAATATAGCAATAATTAATGAGATCAATATAATGTGATATAAAACTATGATTGGCTTTGATACATTTTTGCGTCTTACGGGAGATTGTGTACATAGATAGATTTTGTAAAAATCCCCAGACATTCTTAGCAACTCACACACAATTTCCCGTGCGTAAACGTTTCCACAAAATTTTATACGCACAACTGTACCCTAAAACAGCATTTGCACTTGCATCAAAGAAATGCATGCCAAAAGTGTTGCCTACTTCACGGCGTTCAAGCGTCATCCTCGTCATGAGGAACATTCTAATGAACATATACAAAAATCTCAAGTGCTAGACGCGACGATGACGCAACGCTTTTGCCACCTAGCCATGCCCCCATCTGCCCTACGCCCCTATGATTCTTTTTTTTTCCCATATTTTGTTTCGTATCGCCCCAAGGGAATGTGTCTGGGTTTGAGCCTGTCTGTCTAGCCATTGCGAAGATTGCGTTTAAATGCAGGCATTGTTGTCGTTTCGGGTCCCCGTTCTACTCCAAGTCTCCGAGGCTCAAGACAATTGAGTCTGAGAGCGTAATTTGCAACTGCCTGAGACGGCTAAGGTATTGGAGTTGGAGGATGGAGGATGGAGTCCCCAGGATGCAGGCCCTCCGAATCCCAAGGCCCAACTTTGGCAGGATACGGTGCAGACACAAGTGCAGCCAGCGCCTAATGAGTGAGGGAATCGGGGAGCTGTCGTGGGTCCCCAACTTCTCTGTGACATGTTGTTGCCGTGGCTGCTGTTGCTTTTGCCCGGCTGCATTTTGCATCCAATGGCCGCTGCAGGCGAATGCACCGAAAAAGCAACACAGCCGCACGGCTCTATTTGCACAGTAGCCTGCCTTTTGGTTTCGAGGAGTCTGGGTGGCAGAGAACCCACCATCCACCATCCAGAATCCAGCACCCAGCGCTCACAACTGGAGATGGAGATGGAGCTGTAGCTGTAGCTGCAGTTGGACCCGCTGCAGACATCGTCCTGTGGCATACCCAACAGGCGTTAATAATCATTCTTGTTTTTCGCTTTTTCCGCACAAAAAACAAAAAACAAAACAAGAAAAATGCAACGAGTGTTTTTTTTTAAACTTTTTATGTTGTTTTGTTGGTTGTGGGATTGCTGTTTTGATACCCTGGAAACTATGAATCGCAGGGGGGTTTTCGAACCCTGATAATCTGTTTAATATTTTAGATCAATATTTAAAAGTGTGTTAAAAGGTTTGCTTCGTTTATGGCCTACTTAAACATAAATTGAAATGTTCCTATTTGTATCAACCAATTGAAGTAATAAGTTCGTTTAATTTTAAAACATATCATATAAATCATATACAAATTTTGCAAGAATATTACTTATACCTACAATAAGAGAAAAACCCCAAAGTTAAATTAAAAGTTAAATTAATCTTTCTTAAAATAAATTAAAAGCATGATAATTCAATTAGTAACATATTGAATTGATTTATCCAATAGAAAATTTGCAGATTTCCATATTTTTTAAAATTACAACTACATTTTTCCATACTTAAAAATAAAAGTTAAAGTGTAACACACTTTGATTAAACACAATATTATTTAATGATTTTGTACCTTTTGATAAACTTAATTTACAATATGTTAAATATCCTTAAAGGATATACTTCAAGCCCTTACACTTAAAACTAAATGTATGTTTTTTTTATGTTTCAAGTTTATCCTTTTGGGCCTTGGATTTCATTATTTTTTTTGCGAAACTTTTTCATTTTGTGCAGTCAGACGACGACGACGTCATAGAGAGTGCATTGACTGAAGTCTACAAAAAAATAAAAATGCAGAAACCGAAAAAAAAAGAAAAGCAACCGAAACCGAGCCAAAACGGCAAGTGTGTGGAGGTGGCTGCTGCAGTCTGGTGTTGGCTGCTGCATCTTTTGTTGATATGTAGCGACATGCACAGTGCAGTTTTCCTGGAAAATTCTGCATGAAAGGGGGAGGTGGGTAGTGGAAATACACAGCCCAGCCGAGTGCAACCAAAGTTCAGTAGCTGGCAGCTTTTTGTCTTACAGGAAGCGTTTTAGCTGCGAACTAAAACAAAAAGTTGTTTGCCATAATTAAGACTTGGCTTTTGGCTTAGGCCCAGGCTTCAGTTAAGTGTTATTAGTTGGAGCATTTCTTTTTCGGCCATTGTATCCCAGGGTTTTGGATGGCGGAAGTGGCGAGGAAGGAAGTTGCCAAGGAAGCGGGGCAGGATGAGGATCAGGTTGAGGATGAGGAAACAGCGGAGTCGTTGCACTTGTTAATTGCCGCGCCAGACTTTTCCCACCCGCGAACGCACTCCGCCGGCCAAAGTCAAACAGTTTTGTCCTCGAATTGAGACCACCTGCTTGGACGGCACAAGAAAAAATATTTACCAATATTGCAAAGAAACTTATATATATTTTATAAAAATGTGTTTTTAAACGTATGACTATTAAGAATCAATCTTTATAACTTCATAAAATTATTATTATATAAAATAATTTGACCAATAAATGATATTTTTTTCCCTAAATTTATCAGGACTATACAAAAAAATCGATAGTCTTTTTCTCTCAGTGCTTGCGTGGAATTGTTTGGGCCACGTAAATCATTAAATGCCGAATGGCCGGCAAAGAAAACATTTGGCGAAATTTCAGGCACCAGTGAAGCCTGAAACAAAGGAATACATTTAATAGGAGTATTTCCTTCTTTATACACATTTTTTCGCTTGAAAAACTTCCCCAGGAGCGGAAAGGAAGGCAGGAAACTTGCAGCAGGCGACTGGTTTTTCTGTATTTCGTATTTTTTCTGCGCGACTTTGGCGGCTTTGCTTCGGCGGTTATTAGTCGCTGGCTGCACGCGAATTTGCTTTATTTTCGCTGCTGCTGCTGCTGCTTTGGTTGTTGTTTTGTTGCTGGCGATGCAGCAACCAAAATCCAATTAGCTGCTCAAAAAGTTTTGCCAATGCGCGCAGAAAATTTAATTAATGTTGACACAAGTTGAGGCCAAAACTGAACGGAATTGAATTTGGTTTTCGGGTGGAGAGGTGAGGAGAAAGGAGAAAGCCGGGATGGTGATTGAGATGCCGCCTTTTGTGCTGATAAGTATGCAGGAAAAAATGCACATAATTGTTATTGGTGACCTTTCACCACTTGAACTTTCCCTGCTTGACAAAAGTTGTGGGTAGAAATAAACTTATTAATTGTCTTGAGAATAATTTGGCCATGATTTTTTCGGCTTTTTTATAAATTTTCAATTTATTTAATAAGAATACCATTTTTAAGGGAGATCGAAATGTATCGGTGTACAAAAACATGAGAAACATATATCGGCATTTCGTAACTTTAAATTAATATGTTTAAAATCAAAGAGGTCAAAAAACAACCAACTTTTTTTTTGTAAATCAATTTATATAAAATTACTATTCAAAAATATTAAAATTGGTTATTGACGAAAATAATAAGCATAATTCTATTAACTTAAAACTTTGATTATTATTTTTAAGAAAAATTGGTTATATTCATTTTTGAAATTTGAAAAGAATATATTTTTACATATTGTTTTTTACCACGAAAATATTCTATTCTTATTTTTTGCCTTTAATTTGTTGAATGTTTTGTGAAAAGCATAGCCCACTTTATTGTTGGCCAGGTCACCTGTCATATTGGCCAAGAACAACTTGGCCAACAACAGTCCACCATTAAAGGTGGATGAGCAGAAAGTCAAGTCAATAGCTCAAACCAGCTACGAATGCTAACCAGTCCTCACTTGATCCAAAAACAAAGAATATAAAAAAATCCACAAAAATAGAGCATTGCCAGGTGCGGGTATTTCAGTTGTACTTTTCCGTTTGCCTCCTCTCTGTCCAAACATTTCCCTGGGGGCCAGGCCACCAAAATGGACGCGGCCGCAGCTTTTCAAGCGTTAAAACATAAAAATGTCATTAACACTCAACAGATTTCTGGTGCGCCAACGGCCAAAAGCAACAACGGCCAACAACAAACGGCTTAAATGGCCAATAACAAATTGTTGCAAATGTTCGTTGCAAAGAGTTAAGAGTAAAAAAAAAAAAGAAAAAAATTGCAAAGAACAGCAACGCAAAAGTTTTTTCCTTTTAGTTTTCTTAGTGCTTTATTTTATTTTTTTTGCTGGCTGTTTAGGTGTAGACTTTAATTTATTTGACGCTTAAGCCCGAGTCGCAGACAAGAAAATGACACAGAAACCGAGTTAAGCCACGGAACGCGCTTAAGCCGAATAGCGAGCCAGGCTCGAAGCTTGGAGGTCGTTTATTGTCGCTGGCCCAAAGGGGGTGGCCGTGGCTGGGGGCGGGATTGGGTATCATTTACGCCATAATTTTTCCCAAGCGAAATATTTTCCTTAATGGTTTTTAATGAGCGGGTTGAAAGTGTTCGACTACGGACGGAGGTGTTGAGAAATATGCCTGATTTATAGAAGCTGCAATCTGTGTTTAACGGCGGTGCCGATTCGCAACGAGCTTGCTGAGATTTTTGGGCGTTCCTAGGCAACCTACATAATAGACCCGGGAGGTGTTCTCCTCCAATCGGCGACCGCACTATCAATCGTTAATAGATTTGGTTTCTTCTGAGCAAAATATCTTAGATCTCAGAATCGGGAACAGCTCAATGTGGATCCGATTGAGGCGTGCCGAGAAAGTGTTACCGAAAAATGAGGAAAGTTTTTTGCCATCTTAAAATAGTGGGTATTATCTTATTAAGATTTTGTAGTTTACTTTGACCTGAATTGCCTTGATGTCCCACAATAATTGAGTTAGGAAAATACGATTAAAA